GAGGAGTCATTGTAGGGAGAGAGGTATAACCCAGTGTAATGTTGCCATGAATCTGATCGAACTACAAATTATATAAGTTTACAGGTAACATAATGTAAACTCTTTACTTTTGTTCAGTTGATAAAAAAGCTTTATGTAAAAAATAGAATAAATGATTCCTAGTTACATGTAAACTTTGTTGCAAGTATTTTGAGTGTCTTTGTTGTATTTTATTTAATACTTTAAAAATTATGTCAAGTATTAACCATATTCATTGTGATTTGAACTAAGTAGAGATAATATGCAAATTTCCATTTGGTGAGTGATCATTTGAAAAATTGCCTTGCTTTTATTCCCATTGTGTATTTTCCTAGATAAGTTTTTCATAATCAAAGCATAAATAAAATATGACTGATAATGAAGCATAAATATTTGTTTACAGTCTGACTTTTTCAAATAATTATTTTATTTCTGTTTTTCAAAATATAAGTCAGTCACAATATAAGTCAGTCACAATGGGCTCCAGGATATAATCCCAGACTTAGGGGGACAAGAGTAGTTCCATGCGGTGAAGGCCAGTCTACGATGCAGAATGAGAGCCTGTTTTGCAAAAATAAAAATAACATGCCCTGTTAGAAAGCTTATTTATGAAATATACTAAACTATTTTGAAGAAAATATGCTGAGGATTTATTTTTCTGAAAAGTATGTAGAATGATAAAATTGCATTGGCTTACAGTTTGCACTAATATTTAGTAACAGGTTACCATAGCCCTAAGAATTGTATGCTTAAACTCTAAATACAAGTATGAAAAAATTTCCAACCATTTTTTGGAAGGCAATGCCTTTATTATACTGAAAGCCACTATGTTTACACAATTATGTTTCAAAATTACATTTTCAACCCTTTGATGTTAAAAAACAGTAACAATATTTAATAGAAACTGAATATGAGATTTTGGTCTTTCTTTGCACTAGCCATATGATATTTCTACACTCTGCTGGGCTGCAGCAGCTAGCTCCAGCTCCTAGTTAACAATGTAATCACTACGGAAACAACTGATCAATTCTAGTGTACTGTGTTCCACAAATGATATGAAATATTCAATACTTCCTCGTAAAGTTGTCTTTGTGCTAGATTACTTCCCCAACTACAGCGTAATGCAAGTGTTCGTGCATTTAATGCAGGCTGGGCTGAGCTGTGTACATGTTAGGCATAATAAATATATTTTCTCATCTCACTGTATGTTGAACTTATGGTGGATTCTTCGAGATGTCAATTCATCCTAAGAGGACAAGCCACTTTTTGAGGATGTGAACTGAGCAGTGAAATGAGACTTTGTTTCAGGAACAGTGTACCTGCATATTTATAATACCAACAAATATCAGTTTGACTCCTTCCAAATAGTTATTCATTTTTTAATGGGTAGACAAATTAATGATGGCCTGTAACATTTTCCTCAAATCTTTCTTTGGCCCTCAGTAGTTTTTATTTCTACTCCTGTAACCTTTTTTATATAACAAAGTGTATGCATCAGACAGAAGCAGATTCATTAGCCTTCTAGCCACACAAACCTGACAGAAACTGAAGAACCCTGTATAAAACAAGAGAATATTTATAGAAATCATTTTATAACTAAATGTGCACTCTCATTCTTGATTCAGGAAGCTTTGCACTATTTAGTGTGGTTTCAGACCAAGAAAAGAAGAGAAAAAAAAAAGACAATTACTTTACATGTGATATTATGTACTGCTCCTGATATAAAGTGAATTACCAAGCCATTTAATGAGGATGATCTAGTTTTATTTGTCAGGGAATAAAGGCCTCATTACTTTTACTCATGGGAGATGGCACCTTCTGGTGTTGGCAGCTGCCAGATTATGTCAGCACCTGCCAATAGTTGTTAGTTAGTGAGTTGGAGAAATATTGACACCTTTATGAACATCTGTGATTGATACAGCCTGTCCTAAGATATGTAGTCTGAACTTCCAAATGTCATGGCAACCTAGTATAAACTTAATTTCATCACCTAATTGTTGTCATTTTGAGTTTCTAAGTTTGCTACTGCTTTGTACTTAGAGGTTCCATGGCTCCATCTTTAACTCCTAGGAATATTTTTAATAAGCTGCTGTAGAACAATCTTAGAATCATGACAAAGACAGTATGGTGTTCTCATATACCCCACACTTACAATTTCTAGTTTCTCAATCTTACAATAGAATGATATGTTTGTCATAATTAATGAACTGATATTGAACATTGTTGTTAACTGAAATCCATCCTAAACTCAGATTTTCTTAGCTTTCACATAATGTCCATTTTGTCACAAGGATATCATTCAGGACATTTCATTTCATGTAGTTCTCATGTTTCCTTAATCTTTTCTTGGCTGTGACAACATCAGTGACATTCTCTGTTTTTGATGACAGAGTTTTGGATCGTACTAGTCACATATTTTGTGCATCATGATCTATTAGGGTTTATCTGGTTGTTTTCTACATAAATTTGTTTGTTTGTTTGTTTATTTATTTATTTATTTATGTCTTTCTGGGCATGGCTTAATATCCTTAAGATCATAATCAACTACTACATCCATCTCCCTGTCAATATCATTATGTCATTATTTTTTGTAAGTTTTAAAACAAAGTATGTTTATTCATCAGCAATGGTACATTTTAGATTTTTCACATTGAGTGACAAACAAGCCTTTGAGTGTTTAAAGATTCTTGGCATGTTCCTTTTTGAGATTCATGAGCAATAGATCAGTGTTCTCAAAATTCTCATTTGTCAAAATTGTCATTATTTTAAGGTATTTCTAATGAAAGCATGTTTAAGGTATTGGACAAGTTCTCAGTGGTTAAAAGAATTCACAGAAATTTCAGGAATTTTTATTTGATTCCTAGCACCTACATAATGTTGCTTACAACCCCCTATTACTTTATTTCCAGGGTATCAGAAGTCCTCTTTTGGTTTTTATCAACACACACACACAACCGTATATACTTACTCTTTCTCTATACATACACAAAAATAAAAATATATAATTTTTAAAAAGTCATTAAACTGATAATACATGTTTTTTTAGGAAGTACCATGATCATGATTACCACATTGTACTGTAAGTACATGTGAAAAAGGTGTCTGTCTTATTTAGGATGTTTGTTGTTATGATAAAACACCATTGCCAAAGCAACTTGGGGAGGAAATGGTTTCTTTGGCTTACATATCACAATCCATTGAAGAAAATCAAGGCAGAAAAACAGAAAAGGAACCTGGAGCTCATGAAAGAATGCTTTTAATAGCTTGTTACTCAGAGCTTCCTCGGACTACTTTCTTATAGAACTCTAGATCACCAACACAGGGATGGCACCACCCACAGTGGACTCAGCCCTCCCCCATAAATTAATAATTAAGAAAATGCTCTGTGTTGGATTGAATATGCTTGGCACAGGGAGTGGCACTATTTCAAGTTGTAGCCATGATGAAGTAGGTATGGGCTTGTTGGAGGAAGTGTGTCACTGTGGGCATGGCCTTTAAGACCATCATCCAGCTGCTTGGCAACCAATCTTCACCTAGCTGCCTTCAGAACAAGAGATAGAACTCTCCGATCCTCAAGCATCATACCAGCCTAGACACTGCCATGCTCCATGCCATAATGATAATGGACTAAACCTTTAGTACAGAGTACATTTCACGACAGCCAAGGTTAGGCAGTGAGGGAGTTAGAAAACAGAAAGCTGGTAATAGAATAAGTGGGTGTAGTCATGTTCCAGTTCCAGCAAGCAGCTGATCTCAGTAGCTTCAGCCATGTGACTCTGGATTTAAAGTCAAAAATAGAAGGGACTAGTGAGGCTATTGATGTTGGTTACCTGGAAATTAGGGATGATTGAGAAGAGACCAACAGCACTGAGATGAAAGCTTCTGGGAAGTATTTTCTGATATCACAAACAAGCTATGTTCTACTGATAGCCAAGGTTGTACCTCATGATGCAGCTGGACTTGGAAATGTTTAAGAGTCACCCAGGTAGTACTGGCTTTGAAGGTATGAGGGGATCATGGAGAACAGCTGAAATTTGACACTGTGAGAGAGCCTATGAGAGGCTATTGGTGAAGTCTAGTTGCAGCAGAATACCTCAGCATATTGGAGATGCCAGTACAATGAGGTGACCATACAGTAGCAGCAGTGAATCAAAGTCAACCAGAGTCTAGAGTGCTACAGAGGACAAAGATGGAAAAGTGATACAAGTCCTTTGGAGGACCCCAGATTATATGTGGATCCTAGACACTGGAACAAGAAGCTGTGAAGCTGAAATTGACTTGGATACTCCAAGATGTTAGAGATGCCAGAGCTGTGGAATACCTGCCAGGGAAAGCTGCTAACAAGGAGTAGAAATGAGAAAGAAATTTGTTGCAAGCAACAAAGATTAAAAAGTAGTTGGAGATTTGAAGACTGCTTTAATAACAGACCAGGAGATGCAGAGTTTGGAGTTTTCTCAGCTGGTTTCTTGTCTTCCTTTGTACATTGCAGTTAAGTGATTGGATGAATCTCAAAAGAGACTGTGAACTTTGGACATTTAACATTGTTGCAACTGCAATAGACTATGGGGACTTTGAAGTGTGATTAAATGTATTTTGCATTATGCTATGGCTAGGTATGTACTCTATAAACACATGTGTTTGAAGAAGCCTATGGGGGCCAAGGACTGTAATGTGGTGGTTTGAATATGCTTGGGCCAGGAAGTGGCACTATTAGGAGGTGTGGTCTTGTTGAAGGAAGTGTGTCACTGTATGGGCTTTAAGACCCTCATCCTAGCTGCCTAGAAGCCTGTCTTCTACTAGCTGTAGAACTCTCAGCTCCTCCAGTTCCATGCCTGCCTAGACACTGCCATGCTTCCTGCCATAATGATAATGGACTGAACTTCTCAACCTGTAAGGGAGTCCCAATTAAATGTTTTCCTTTATAAGAGTTGCTATGATCATGATGTCTCTTCATAGCAATGAAACTCTAATCAGGCCCTAAATGTCCCTGTCAATTGGCTAAAAGACACCTTGTTGGTGGTGGTGTTCTTATTATCAGCCAGGGGCAAAGCAGATGATAGTCTTTTGGTCATCTAGCTTGATGCTTGGCTAGGTGGCTAAAGCTCCTTATGCTCAGGACTCATGAAATCAAATGAACTCAAATCCAGGCAATGCAGTGCAGGAGGGGAAGACAGAGACCAGTTTTTCTCCATGCACTCGTGTGGGTGGGGAAAGACACCCACAGACCTATGCTTTGCCCCACAGCATGAGGTAGGTTATAGATACATAGTCCCTCCTACCACCACAGACAGAGATCTGTGAACCACCATGACACCCACAGACTGGCCTTCTGGCACATAGCACAGGAGAGCCCTAGGCATCCACTTGTCACCATACCATGCAGTACAGACAAAGGATGTCACCAAGGGGCCCACTAAACATGTGGCCAGACTGTATAGACAACCACTACAATGTGCAAATATGTGGTATACATACATATAGGAGAGGAAGAGAAGTAGACTAGCTTAATCATTATAAAGAGAGATGGAACTGGAGACTAAAGGGTGGAGAGGAATAGCACATTATGAGTGGCCTGCCCTGCCACTTGGGGAAGCATCCCAGTGGGTGTGAGTGTGGTACAACTGACTGTACCAGTTTGGAAAGCTGCCCACAGGGACGAGAGTATGTCCCTCACCAAAGGCAACACTCAAGTGAGCTGGCCCTGCACCTCACCTGGAAGGCACAGCAGAGCTGACTCTTAGGAGGTGGTGGGTTGGGAGGACAGAGATGAGTCAGCACCAAAAGTTGAGAGTGCCATACAGCTGGCCCCTCCACTCATCTGGTTATTCATATTGGAGTGTATTTACTTACAGGCTTTTCAGAAAATGAAACCCTTGTATATACATATTAATTAAATTACAAATCATGTGCATATATTTAAATATTTGTAGATGTAGCCACCTATGATAGTAAGGAATATTCTTCATCTATAATTCATTGACACTTGGAATGTTTTAGAATATTTTAGACCCTTTTTTTGATTATCTATAAATCTCTCTACTCCAACACTGAAAACCTAACTTCTGTTACCCATCAACCATTTGCATTATCATTCAATTCTACTATATTTGTTGTGGAGAATCAAAATTGATTATACATATTGTGGTGGAAAACTGGCTTATTAACTAGGCTTTCTTATGTACAGTTTCTTTGTTTTTAGTATTACAGATTCTATACATTTCCAAATTTGCTTAAGTCAGCGGTTTGTTGCTTAAACTCCCTCAAGTAGGGTTTTTAAATAAGTTTGTAATGCACCTTCTTCATTCAATCTTTGAATGCACACATTAACATTAGACTTTATGCTGTGAAGTGCTGTTCTTTTTGATAGATACTTAAAATCTTGTATTCATCCTTGAAGTACTAAACAAAATAGTTTCCCTGCCTTAGAAATCCCCTTGTGAAAAAACTAATCAATTTCACTTCTAAATCACTGGCAACTAGAGATTTGTTTATCCTCTCAATAGTTTTGCCTTTTCCAGAAGGTCATAAAATGCCTGTAAACAGTATGCAGCCTTTTTAGACTGGTTTCTTTCACTTAGCAAAATACATTTAAGACTTACTTCCACTTACTCTTGGCTGAATAAATCACTGGATTTTATTGCTGAAACGAAGTGCAGTAGTATATTGATGAAGCAGTTTGCTGTTCACTTAGCCACTGAAAGCCTTCAGTGTGGATGATTGCAGGTAGAATTATTGAAAACGTTTGCATTCATAATTTTAAGAATTTAAATTCTGAAACAAACTTGATAAATTTCAAGGAATGTGATTCCTGGGTCAGGTAGTAAATTTATACAGAGTTCTGAAAGCAACCCATCAAACTGCTTTCTGAATTAGCTGCACCTTCCCACTCTAAAGACTTCCTTCTATTGTCCCAAAATGTTAGTATTACTCAGTGTTGTGTTGTGAGTTTTAAAAATTCTGACAAATATGTAATTGCATGTTAATGCTTTAATTTCCAAGTCCTAAGTGATTAACAATGTTGAGTATGTTTTTACTATTTTGATGTCTCTATTATTTAAGTTTTGATTTACTTTGGTTTTAGAAAGGGTCTCCTATGTTGTATAGCCTTTGTGAAACACAAAATGCCTTTCCCTCAGTCTTCAGAGTTTTGGGTGTATCTGCATGTGCATGGAAATACAAAGGGATAGTTTGACCCTCCTACTGGCACCAAAGGAGAAAATATCTTACCTTTCTTATTAGTCAGTCCATATGTGAAATATAAGGAAAATAAAGAGGAGGGAATATTATGAAATATTATTTGCATGTATCTTGAAATTATAGAGTCAATAAACCATTGCATAACAAAATATCACATAATCTGAGCAGAGAGGTTGATTTCTTGAAGAATGACCAAAAGTATCAGAAATGAAGTATAAAAGATGTGCTGATCTTTTCATAATTATTTTCTTGTAGATGGAGAGAGAAATACAGAACTCCAGAAAAATAAATTATGGGTTAATATCAAATACTTCAGGTTCCCATTTTCTGAAGAGTAGAACAATCTGAACTTTGTTTTCTCATGCAATTAAGACTGGGAAGTTTTTGAGTGCTTAAGGCTAAAGAATTTCTCCAGACAAATATCCAAGATGAACTTTAACTCTGCTAATTCATGTTTGTGCCTTACATGATCATAGCACCAAATTATTTTTACAAATATTTTAATTGCATTTCTAGTAAGTTTTGAGGATTATTTATTTTGTACGAATAGAAAATGTGAGGAAAAAAATCAAAATACCTCAACAGAACCCCCCAGACCACCAACAATTTGCTGAAAACAGCCAAAACAAAAAAATAACCAGTTCCTCCTAGGGCAAGGTGACCACGAATGTAAGAACAAAACCAAGGCAAACCTTGACAAGTCTAAACATGCCCAAATGAGAAATGGGCCATCTGGTGTTTTTATTTTCCTATCAGAAAGTCTGAGGTTTCATGGCCAAAATACAAAAAAAATACGAGTCATCATGACCACCAGGAAAAGCTTCTATGCCCGCCAAAATGATAACTTACACCTATTGCTGATGTTTAAAATATCCAATCAAATGTAACCACGCCAAAGTTTCCCGCTCTTCCCCTTCCCCCTGCGCAGTTCCCTATATAAACTTTAACCTGTCAGAGCTGGGTGTGGAAATCCTTCCCTTGCATGGGATGTGTTTTCGACCCAAAGGCCCTTGTCAGTAAACTACCTTTTGCTATTTTGCATCAAGCCAGTCTCTGTGTTTCCTTGGGTGTGTGCAACTCCAGGTAAGAGAGGGGACTCCCCTTGGGGGCCCCTTACAAAAACATTGTTCTGCATTCTGTCATTCTTAGAAGTTATTCATTTGGTTTCGTTGTAAAAATAATAATTTCACAGTTTGAGTTAAAAATATTACTTCTGTTCTATTTTATGGACTATATTACATATATCATTTCTTAACTATCTTATAAAATTTATCAAGGAAGTGATATAAACTTGATTATTTTTTAGATAATGATTATTTTGATTTCCATTTAAAAATAAATGTAGACATTTTCAACATTTTTATATGAAGTTTAGTTTGCGTCTCAGAGTAATTGGTGTAATTGGTTTATTATATTTAAGTATCAGTTTATGGATATATGTCACCATTAAGATATATATATATGGTAGTGATTATTTTACTGATAATCAAGCCTTCTGTATTTGGAAAATGAGTATTAATATTCTGCAAATATTAATATGGCATCAGTTATTCGTTAATCAGCTAGTTCCCTAAAAAGACACACAGAGACTGTTTACTATTGCAAAGTTGAGGCCTTATCTGGGCAGATGCTGAACTAGATCTTCTAAGTTAACCCTACCACTTAGCCCCACCCAGCCACATGGATAGCTGTACCTTTCAGGCCTGTAGTCAGGTCTGTCTCCTATTGTGTCTCCTGGGAAAAAGCCTTTCTTGTTCTTCATCCCAGAGTTCTTTTCTCCCTCCCAAAAAGTCTTGCCTTACATTTCCTGCCAAGCTAATTTGCCATCCGATTTTTATTAAAGCCAATAAAACAATGTTTTAGGTAGATGAGAATGGACAGAGACACAACTTCACACTCTCTACCTCATCATGTATTTTTTTTCCTCTTGGTTAGTCTGGTTAGAGGCCTATTAATTTTATTGAACTTCTAAAGAACTGATTGTTTCAATGATTGTCCCTATACATTTCCATTCCTTAAGATACTTAATTTTTGTTTCTGTTACTACTACTATTATTATTACTATTACTTAATTAGGCTTAAATTCTTCTTCCTTTATATTTCTAAGGTAAAAGTTCAGATAATTCATTTTAGACCATTTTTTCTAAGATGTATCCATATATTATCTAATATTCTCCTGTTAATGCTGATTTTCTGAAGTCCTCAAGCTGTATTACATCATTGATTTTAGTTAAGGGTTTATTTTTATTTATGTCTTGAGACTTCATTTTTTATTTGTGTGCAGTACAGAAGTATGTTCAACTTCCAAATATTTGAATATTTTCATCTATATTTCCCTTATTGCTTTCTAGATTAATTGCATTGTAGTTGAATAAAATAATTTCCCTGCATCATCTTTAAATGTGTTTAAGTACACCAAATGGTCTTATATGGCTTTATCTTAGAGAGCATTACATGACACTTTAAGAAGAATGTGTGTTGTATTGAAGGATGGAGTGTTTCTTTCATTTGTAGAAAGTTCTTTACATGTTAAAAGATATTGGCTCCAACACTTATATCAGCTCTTCTAATTATGATATCTGAGCTGTCCCTTTCATCTTAACCCTACAGTCTGAACAAGAATACTCTCTTGTTTTACTTATGGTATGGAAAAAGTAATGACTTTCAAGTTCTTTGTAAATGTGAGATGAAGCTGACAGTCCTCTTTAGAAGAAAAATTTAGGATTAACTTATTATTTCAAATATAAATTATAAAACATATTTAAATAATCTACAAGTAAGTCAAGCTCCAATAGAAATATATTTAATTACAACCGATGTTATTCCTGTCTAACAACGCAAGATAAAATATTTTATACAATTTCAGGATTTTATTGTTTTCCTGATAACTAAAATTACCTATTTTATAGGTTCCTATTGTTGTGTGAC